GTATTGCCCAGCGACAGCCCCGAAACCTGAAGGATCTGGAGAAGGTCTGTATGGAGGAGTGGGCCAAAATCCCTGCTGCAGTGTGTGCAAACCTGGTCAAGACCTACAGGAAACGTATGATTTCTGTAATTGCAAACAAAGGTTTATGTACCAAATATTAAGTTCTGCTTTTCTGATGTATCAAATACTTATGTCATGCAATAAAATGCAAATGTATTACTTAAAAATCATACAATGTGATTTTCTGGATTTTAGATTCCGTCTCTCACAGTTGAAGTGTACCTATGATAAAAATTACAGACCTCTACATGCTTTGTAAGTAGGAAAACCTGCAAAATCGGCAGTGTATCAAATACTTGTTCTCCCCACTGTATATATATATATATATTTTAGATTCTTCAAAGTAGCCACCCTTTGCCTTGAAGACTTTGAACACTCTTGGCATTCTCTCAACCAGCTTCATGAGGAATGCTTTTCCAACAGTCTTGAAGGAGTTCCCACATATGTTGAGTACTTCTTGGCTGCTTTTCCTTCACTCTGCGGTCCAACTCATCCCAAACATGTAAGGGTTGGTGTGAGGTGTGACCCAGGTGCGGTGCAGGATATACAGTAGGCAGTAGGCAGAGATGGTGAAACAAGGAGTTTACATACACTAAGTTGACTGTGCCTTTTAAACAGCTTGGAAAATTCCAGAAAATGATGTCATGGCTTTAGAAGCTTCTGATAGGCTAATTCACATAATTTGAGTTAATTGGAGGTGTACCTGTGGAGGTATTTCAAGGCCTACCTTCAAACTCAGTGCCTCTTTGCTTGACATCATGGGAAAATCAAAAGAAATCTGCCAATAATTTTTTTTGTAGATCTCCTCAAGTCTGGTTCATCCTTGGGAGCAATTTCCAAACGCCTGTAGGTACTACGTTCATCTGTACAAACAATAGTACGCAAGTATAAACACCATGGGACCATGCAGCCGTCATACTGCTTAGGAAGGAGACGCATTCTGTCTCCTAGAGATGAACATACTTTCGTGCAAAGTATATATACAGTTGAAGTCGGAAGTTTACATACACCTTAGCCAAATACATTTAAACTCAGTTTTCACAATTCCTGACATTTAATCCTAGTAAAAATTCCCTGTCTTAGGTCAGTTAGGATCACCACTTTATTTTAAGAATGTGAAATGTCAGAATAATAGAGCAAATGATTTATTTCAGCTTTTATTTCTTTCATCACATTCCCAGTGGGTCAGAAGTTTATATACACTCAATTAGTATTTGGTACCATTGCCTTTCAATTGTTTAACTTGGGTCAAACGTTTCGGGTAGCATTCCACAAGCTTCCCACAATAAATTGGGTGAATTTTGGCCCATTCCTCCTGACAGAGATGGTGTAACTGAGTCAGGTTTGTAGGCCTCCTTGCTCGCACACACCTTTTCAGTTCTGCCCACACATTTTCTATAGGATTGAGGTCAGGGCTTTGTGATGGCCACTCCAATACCTTGACTTTGTTGTCCTTAAGCCATTTTGCCACAACTTTGGAAGTATGCTTGGGGTCATTTTCCATTTGGAGGACCCATTTGCGGCCAAGCTTTAACTTCCTGACTGATGTCTTGGGATGTTGCTTCAATATATCCACATAATTTTCCTTCCTCATGATGCCATCTATTTTGTGAAGTGCACCAGTCCCTCCTGCAGCAAAGCACCCCCACAGCATGATGCTGCCACCCCCGTGCTTCAGGGTTGGGATGATGTTCTTCGGCTTGCAAGCCCTCGCCCTTTTTCCTCCAAACATAACAATGGTCATTATGGCCAAACAGTTCTGTTTTTCTTTCATCAGACCAGAGGACATTTCTCCAAAAAGTACGATCTTTGTCCCCATGTGCAGTTGCAAACCGTAGTCTGGCTTTTCTGTGGCAGTTTTGGAGCAGTGGCTTCTTCCTTGCTGAGCGGCCTTTCAGGTTATGTCGATATAGGACTCGTTTTACTGTGGATATAGATACTTTTGTACCTGTTTCCTCAAGCATCTTCACAAGGTCCTTTGCTGTTGTTCTGGGATTGATTTGCACTTTTCGCTCCAAAGTACGTTCATCTCTAGGAGACAGAATGCGTCTCCTTCCTGAGCAGTATGACGGCTGCATGGTCCCATGGTGTTTATACTTGCGCACTATTGTTTGTACAGATGAACGTGGTACCTTCAGGCATTTGGAAATTGCTCCCAAGGATGAACCAAACTTGTGGAGGTCTACAATTTGTTTTCTGAGGTCTTGGCTGATTTATTTTGATTTTCCCATGATGTCAAGCAAAGTGGCACTGAGTTGGAAGGTAGGCCTTGAAATACATCCACAGGTACACCTCCAATTGACTCAAATTATGTCAATTAGCCTATCAGAAGCTTCTAAAGCCATGACATAATTTTCTAGAATTTTCCAAGCTGTTTAAAGGCACAGTCAACTTAGTGTATGTAAACGTCTGACCCACTGGAATTGTGATACAGTGAAATAAGTGAAATAATCTGTCTGTAAACAATTGTTGGAAAAATTACTTGTGTCATGCACAAAGTAGATGTCCTAACCTACTTGCCAAAACTATAGTTTGTTAACAAGATTTTTGTGGAATGGTTGAAAAACAAGTTTTAATGACTCCAACCTAAGTGTAAACTTCCAACTTCAACTGTATAATTTAGCTAAACAGGTGTGGCTCAAAACAGATGGGGCTCTGCCCTGAATGACGGGTGTCCATTGATTATAAGGTATTTTATGCATGTGTATGACAGCTCACAGTTTGCCTACTTTGACAATGAAATAGTCATTATAATAATCGGCAACATCAAAAGGTTTTGTGATAAATGAGCCATCTGATTCAGTGAAAGATTTTTTCATCATACTTTGTCATTTATCTTGGTTTCACAATACAATTTCTTCTTCTTTTTGTTCAGTTTAGTCACATAATCTCTTGATTGACAGTAAGTTTGACAATCAGATGTGCAGCCAGAATTATTTACCACTCCTTTTGCCTTGTCCCTCTCAACCATACAGCTTTTCAATTCCTCATCAATCCACAGGGCCTTAACAGTTCTAACAGTCGGTTTCGTAAAAGGTGCATATTTATCAATAACTTGAAGGAACAATTTCATAAATGCATTAAGTGCAGTGTCTGGATACTCCTCATTACACACATCAGACCAACAAATATGTTTTGTATTTTTAACATAGGAATCAGTACAAAATGTTTTGTATTATCTCTTATATACTATTTTAGGCCCAGCCTTTGGAACTTTGGCTTTTCTAGATATGGCCACTATAGTATGGTCAGTACATCCAATGGGTATGGATACAGTTTTAGAGCAGAGTTCTGCAGCATTGGTAAAAATGTGAACAATACACGTGGATGATATAGTTCCTGTACTGTTTGTAAACAGCATGGTAGGTCGATTAATGACCTGAACCAGATGACAGGCACTGGTTACAGTGAGCAGCTTCCTCTTGAGCGGACAGCTTGATGAAAACCAGTCTATATTCAGGTCAGCCAGAAAACAGACCTCTCTGTTAACATCACACATATTATCAAGCATTACACACATAATGAATGTTAGCACTTGGTGGCCTATAGCAGCACCCCAAAAGAAGAGGCTTTAGATGAGGCAGGTGAATGTGCAACCACAACACTTCAACAGCATTAGACATGAGATCCTCTCTAAGCTTTACAGGGATATGGTTCTGAACATAGCAACTTTTTCTCTAAGAATGTATCTAGAACCTAAAATGGTTCTTTGGCTGTCCCCATAGGAGAACCCTATGAAGAACCCTATTTGGTTCTAGGTAAAACCCTTTTGGGTTCCATGAAGAACCCTTTCCACAGAGGATTCTACATGGAACCCAAAATGATTTTACCTGGAACCAAAAAGGTTTCTACCTGGAGCCAAAAAGGGTTGTCCTATGGGGACAGCCACTTTGGAGAACCACTTTGGAACCCTTTTTCTAAGTGTACAGCAATGCCTGTCTCTTCTGTAGATGTGATATGTCTTTATTGCTACTATTGTATTATCAAGGGAATAATCTAAGTGACTCTCAGAGATGGCCAATATATGAATGTTATTGATTTCATCAACCTTATTTCTAAGGCTACATATATTAATATGGGCTATTTTTGTCCCTTTCATGGGTAGCTTATTGGATATAGACATAATATGAAGAAAAAAACACAAAGCATGACAATAACATTGTTTAGCTAATAAAGTCAGTCAATCAGCCATGAGAAAACTAGTTCTGATAAGTCATGGAAATAAAAGTGCTGAAAACAAATTGGCTCCCTATTTAAAAAGAAGATGGAGAACAAGCTATGAAGTTAAAATACTGGAGTTTGGTGCAGGTACAGCCAACTAGTGCAAAAATAATATTGCTATTTTGTCCAAAATATATGATACAACATAAAAAATTATATCCTAATATGTAACTATCGATTTTAAAGCAATGCTGACCTCTAGCGGTAAAGGAATGTGCTTTTTTAGGATGTTACATTACATCATGCCTACTCAATCATACATACAGTGTAGGCCCTCCGTTTTATTTACATGTCTAACCTACCACTCAATTCCCCATTCTTGAAACGTCTAACTGTGAGGATTGTAGGGGCCTGCTTTTTCACTCATTTATAGCTCCAACATTATTATTTACCAGGGAAAGTTGTCAGGTCCTTCTGTACCTACTCCTCTACTCTGCCAGGGCCCTACGTCACTTAAAACCGAGTAGGCTTTCTGCCAGTTGTAGCCTCCATTGCAATGCACACCTCCTCGGCATTAGTTTGACACTTACACTAACATATTCTACTAGTGCTTTCGGTTACATTTTTTGGTGAACTCTTCCTACCTGCCAACTTTAGGGAGTGTCATGCTTCACTGTCAATTATCTCGACTTGCCACAGTCGGCTTTGGGAGTGCCTATCCCAAGCTACTCGAACGGCCTGTGAATTTGCCTGCTGTCAATTGGGTTTATCACCGCAAAATGACAGATAAAGGACTCACGGATGAGGCTGTGTCCGCAGCGTGCAAAGAAGGGGACCCTATCACCCAGGTGAGTGTCACGCAGTAGAATGTGTAGCATTTATTTGTCACTTATTCACAGTAGGTCTATTTTACTTGCTTGACACAGTCTGTCTCAGCAAACCTGTTGTTGAGCAAGAGTCTCTGGCCTCAGCTATGTGAGTTGTAGGCTATATAGCTAAGGCTGTGTGCTCCTATAGCAAATACCAACGGAAAACAGCATTTAGGGAACTAGTTCCAGGCCTTAGAATGTTATTACTTATACTGAATAATGTGTTGGCTCTAGTTTGAGTTCTTCCTTTTCTTCTAGAGTTATAAGCTGAGAACATAGCTGAGAAGTAAGCGGTCAAGACATATTTTGCAAGTGACAACTCGCCCGGCACTCCCCCTTCTTTTCTGTCTGTCTCTCCCCAGGACTACATGTTGCAGCAAACTATGCTGAGGGTGAAAGACCCGCTCAAGTCTTTAGACTTCTACACCCGCATCATGGGCATGACGTGAGTCCCAGACTTCTCTCTCACACAAACATGAAGGGGCTTCGGGCCTAGTACCCTACCCCTCTAGATGAGTTCTCATTCTCTTGAACAAGAAATAGTGATTCATAAATGTTTATGACTAAAACTGCTGACCCCTTTAAATAAGTGTGTCGCATGTGTTTCTCACTGTGTGGTGATTGTGGCCCTAGCTTCAGGTTTTATGTAGAGTGATCGGTTTGATCTCCTGGATGCTTTAGAGTTATGAGAAATTAACCTCTGATTTTGCATGTGATGTAGTGACCTTTTCATTGATCTTAGGGAGTTGTATTCTCCATCTTCACCTCAAATTGTCCCACCAGTTGAACCAGTTGTGATTGCTATTTGCCTCAGGTTGCTGCAGAAAATAGACTTCCCATCAATGTGCTTCACACTCTACTTCCTGGGTTATGAGGAAAATAAGGAAATCCCTGCAGACGTAAAGGACAGGACAGCATGGACTTTCTCCCGACGAGCCACAATTGAACTCACACAGTAGGCACCCGACTTAAAACCTCCCCACTGGGCACACTTTGGTTCAATGAACGTTGTTTCAATGTAATTTCAATGAAATTATGTTGAACCAACGTGGAATAGAAGGAATGAATTGACGTCTGTGCCCTGTGGGTCAGCACACAAGCACATAGATTTCAGGTCTGCTACTAAGTAGAGCTATGAAGTGCCCTGTAAAAATTTTATATAATAGAAGATGATCCTATAACATCTAACCAGGGGTCTCCAACAGGTAGATGGCAAGCTATCAGTAGCTCGTGGGCTGTCAATAAGTAACTCGCAAGTAGCCCATTCATAGACGTTAAAGGAAAATTCCACCCAAAAACTATCTTTTGGTATTTGTTTCATTAGTCCATTGTTGACATAGTCCAAAAATGTTTTCAAGATACAGTGGGGGAAAAAAGTATTTAGTCAGCCACCAATTGTGCAAGTTCTCCCACTTAAAAAGATGAGAGAGGCCTGTAATTTTCATCATAGGTACACGTCAACTATGACAGACAAAATGAGGGAAAAAAATCCAGAAAATCACATTGTAGGATTTTTTATGAATTTATTTGCAAATTATGGTGGAAAATAAGTATTTGGTCAATAACAAAAGTTTCTCAATACTTTGTTATATACCCTTTGTTGGCAATGACACAGGTCAAACGTTTTCTGTAAGTCTTCACAAGGTTTTCACACACTGTTGCTGGTATTTTGGCCCATTCCTCCATGCAGATCTCCTCTAGAGCATTGATGTTTTGGGGCTGTCGCTGGGCAACACAGACTTTCAACTCCCTCCAAAGATTTTCTATGGGGTTGAGATCTGGAGACTGGCTAGGCCACTCCAGGACCTTGAAATGCTTCTTACGAAGCCACTCCTTCATTGCCCGGGCGGTGTGTTTGGGATCATTGTCATGCTGAAAGACCCAGCCACGTTTCATCTTCAATGCCCTTGCTGATGGAAGGAGGTTTTCACTCAAAATCTCACGATACATGCCCACATTCATTCTTTCCTTTACACGGATCAGTCGTCCTGGTCCCTTTGCAGAAAAACAGCCCCAAAGCATGATGTTTCCACCCCCATGCTTCACAGTAGGTATGGTGTTCTTTGGATGCAACTCAGCATTCTTTGTCCTCCAAACACGACGAGTTGAGTTTTTACCAAAAAGTTATATTTTGGTTTCATCTGACATTCTCCCAATCCTCTTCTGGATCATCCAAATGCACTCTAGCAAACTTCAGACGAGCCTGGACATGTACTGGCTTAAGCAGGGGGACACGTCTGGCACTGCAGGATTTGAGTCCCTGGCGGCGTAGTGTGTTACTGATGGTAGGCTTTTACGTTGGTCCCAGCTCTCTGCAGGTCATTCACTAGGTCCCCCCGTGTGGTTCTGGGATTTTTGCTCACCGTTCTTGTGATCATTTTGACCCCACGGGGTGAGATCTTGCGTGGAGCCCCAGATCGAGGGAGATTATCAGTGGTCTTGTATGTCTTCCATTTCCTAATAATTGCTCCCACAGTTGATTTCTTCAAACCAAGCTGCTTACCTATTGCAGATTCAGTCTTCCCAGCCTGGTGCAGGTCTACAATTTTGTTTCTGGTGTCCTTTGACAGCTCTTTGGTCTTGGCCATAGTGGAGTTTGGAGTGTGACTGTTTGAGGTTGTGGACAGGTGTCTTTTATACTGATAACAAGTTCAAACAGGTGCCATTAATACAGGTAACGAGTGGAGGACAGAGGAGCCTCTTAAAGAAGAAGTTACAGGTCTGTGAGAGCCAGAAATCTTGCTTGTTTGTAGGTGACCAAATACTTATTTTCCACCATAATCTGCAAATAAATTCATAAAAAATCCTACAATGTGATTTTCTGGATTTTTTTTCTCTCAATTTGTCTGTCATAGTTGACGTGTACCTATGAAGAAAATTACAGGCCTCTCTCATCTTTTTAAGTGGGAGAACTTGCACAATTGGTGGCTGACTAAATACTTTTTTTCCCCACTGTATGTAACTTTCAAAATACAGAAATCATCCCATATGATGCATTTTGCATCATATGATGCAAAATGCATAATACGGGGATGATCTCTGCATATTTCATATAAGCATGATTTTTTTCTCAAAAAAACTAAAAGTTAAATTACTACAGACCTTTATAAGGTTAGGGTTAGTGTTCCCACACGGCCATATCTCCATGTTACAGTGCTTGTTACGGAAGACAGATGGAAGACAGAGGCAACCAGCTGTGCTTTAGCTATCTAGCATGCTCAAACACCTGTGTGTAAGCGTAACTGGGGAGTTTAGGTTCTCATCATTAGCTGTGATAAGCGTTGATAACAGGCTGCTATTTACTTTGGAAGATGAAGAATTTTCAGAATATGAGGATCATGTCTCTGTCAATTCAGAGTCTGACAGTGAGTTAGAAGAAGAGGATGAGATTGACCCTCAGCCAGGCCCAGGACCAGCCCATCAGCAGCCAGCCCCAGGACCAGCCCGTCAGCAGCCAGCCCCAGGACCAGCCCGTCAGCAGCCAGCCCCAGGACCAGCCCGTCAGCAGCCTGCAGGAGGAGAAATATGGATGTCAGAAAATCGTGAAATTGAATGGTCTTCTTGCCCAAGGAATGAGCCACCCCTCAAAGCTGCCAATGTGATAAGGATGCAACCAGGGCCGATGTGGATGGCGGTTACTCATGTGCAGGACATAAAGTCTTCTTTTGAACTGTTCATCCCAGACACCATCCAGAAAATCATTCTGGACTGCACTAATTTGGAGGGAAGGCGTGTTTTTGGAGAAAGATGGAAGGAGATGGACCAAACTCATTTACATGCATACTTTGGGGTTCTTATCCTTGCTGGTGTTTTCAGATCCACTGGAGAATCCACAGAATCCCTGTGGGATGCAGAAACTGGCAGAGAAAATGTCTCTGGAAAACATACACATTATTTCCAGGATTATCCGCTTCGATAACCGAGACACCAGACCAGCTCGGCGGCAGAGAGACAAGCTAGCTGCAATCAAGTCAGTGTGGGACAAGTGGGTGGACCGCCTTCCCCTGTTTTACAACCCTGGGCCCAATGTTACTGTTGATGAGCAGCTTATGCCATTTAGGGGCCGCTGCCCCTTCAGTCAGTGCATACCGTCTAAACCTGCAAAATATGGAATCAATATCTGGGCTGCCTGTGATGCTGCTTCATCATATGCGTGGAACTAGCCAATTCCTCTAAGTTTGTGTTCACGGCCGACATGTCCCTAGTGTCTTACGTGCCAAACAAAGGCAAAAATGTGGTTTTCATTTGGAGGGGGATGGTAGCATCTAACAATTGGATTTCATTCTTTCTTGGGCACTGCGCAGCAATGCAAACAACGACTTCCTAATCAGAACCGTCTACCAATTATGGATATAGGCTTGGACGTGGAAAAAGTGTCGCCAAACAAGCATAGGTACGGGTCGGCAAATAACTTGCATGGTGGGTGTATGTATATATATATATATGTATATATAAATATTTTAAAAAATACTACAGCCCATGTCAACGCATTGAATAACACATTCATAAATGGCAAAAAATGACAGTCAAAAAATAAATCACAAGGAATAAGGTTTTAGAAGTGTCTGTTCTATATCTATGAGATATAAGAAAGCTCAGGAAATATTTGATTTGTTTTGGACACATATTTAACCCCTTATTTTTGTTGGCACAAAACTACCTCCCTACTTCCATTCATTTGTATGGGTTACATTCAGATGAGTCCTGTGACACTTGTGGGGGTCGTAGAACACCATCATGTTTGTGAGAGTCGCATCTTTCCATAGACTAGTCATATTAGTTAGAACGGCCAAACCGTTCACACGCTACAGACGTTTTCGTGAGAAGACTAATTTTCGGGATGTCTCCTGGTCTGACAAACAGCACTGTAGCTCTGCCACTTTCCACCGTAGATGTGGAAGGGCGATATACAGTTGAAGTCGGAAGTTTACATATATAACTTAGCCAAATACATTTTAAACTCTGTTTTTCACAATTCCTGACATGTAATCCTAGAAAAAATCATTTAGGATCACCACTTTCGTTTAAGAATGTGAAATGTCAGAATAATAGTAGAAAGAATGATTTATTTCAGCTTTTATTTATTTCATCACATTCCCAGTGGGTCAGAAGTTTATATACACTCATTTAGTATTTGGTAGCGTTGCCTTTAAATTGTTTAACTTGGGTCAAACGTTTCGGGTAGCCTTCCACAACCTTCCCACAATAAGTTGGGTGAATTTTGGCCCATTCCTCCTGACAGAGATGGTGTAACTGAGTCAGGTTTGTAGGCCTCCTTGCTCGCACACGCTTTTTCAGTTCTGCCCACACATTTTCTATAGGATTGAGGTCAGGGCTTTGTAATGGCCACTACTATACATTGACTTTGTTGTCCTTAAGCCATTTGGAAGACCCATTTGCGACCAAGCTTTAACTTCCTGACTGATGTCTTGAGATGTTGCTTCAATATATCCACATAATTTTCCTTCCTCATGATGCCATCTATTTTGTGAAGTGCACCAGTCCCTCCTGCAGCAAAGCACCCCCACTTCGGCTTGCAAGCTCCCCCTTTTTCCTCCAAACGAAACGATGGTCATTATGGCCAAACAGTTCTATTTTTGTTTCATCAGACCAGAGGAAATTTCTCCAAAAAGTACGATCTTTGTCCCCATGTGCAGTTGCAAACCGTAGTCTGGCTTTTTTATGGTGGTTTTGGAGCAGTGGCTTCTACCTTGCTCAGCAGCCTTTCTGGTTATGTCAATATAATACTTGTTTTACTGTGGATATATATTTTTTTGTACCTGTTTCCTCCAGCATCTTCACAGGGTCCTTTGCTGTTGTTCTGGGATTGATTTGCACTTTTCGCACTAAAGTATGTTCATCTCTAGGAGACAGAACGTGTCTCCTTCCTGAGCGGTATGACTGCTGCGTGGTCCCATGGTGTCCATGGTGTTTATACTTGCGTACTATTGTTTGTACAGATGAACGTGGTACCTTCAGGCGTTTGGAAATTGCTCCCAAGGATGAACCAGACTTGTGGAGGTCTACAATTTGTTTTCTGAGGTCTTGGCTGATTTATTTTGATTTTCCCATGATGTCAAGCAAAGAGGCACTGAGTTTGAAGGTAGGCCTTGAAATACATCCACAGGTACACCTCCAATTGACTGAAATGATGTCAATTAGCCTATCAGAAGCTTATAAAGCCATGACATCACTTTCTGGAATTTTCCAAGCTGTTTAAAGGCACAGTCAACTTAGTGTATGTAAACTTCTGACCCACTGGAATTGTGATACAGTGAATTATAAGTTAAATAATCTGTCTGTAAACAATTTTTGAAAAATTACTTGTGTCATGCACAAAGCAGATGTCCTAACCGACTTGCCAAAACTATAGTTTGTTTCAAGAAATGTGTGGAGTGGTTGAAAAATAAGTTTTCATAACTCCAACCTAAATGTATTTAAACTTCCGACTTCAACTGTAGGTGGATGCAGTGTATTGAGATGCAGCCCATGCAAAAAAAAAACTGATATCGCTAGCTTAAAGATGCACTATGGAATGCTAACAGTTTGCTTACTTTCAGTTTATGTGACAAAACAAGCAAGTATAGTGTAGAGAATCATTGTACCATCTAAACCGCTGTGAAATATATTTTCCATAACCAAAAATATTGTATTTTCAACTGATTGAAGCTGATGTACAAAACCAAAAGTAAAACACGCAAAAAGTAAATGTAAAAAATGGGAAGCATAGAAATAGTGCACATAGACAGATCTACCACTTCTTAGACTTACTTTCAATGAGAATAACATATCTATAATTCACATTTCTATGTTAATTTTTGTCAGGGTCACCCAAAAAGTTACATATTTTAGCTTTAAACTGATGGATTTTTAAAATATGTTCATTAGAAACTATGGTTCCTACCCTGTCACAATACCATGATGGTGATGTCATATTTTTCTCTTTACTCTCTTCTCTTTAAGCAACTGGGGCTCTGAGTCAGATGAAAATCTATCATATTACAACGGAAACTCTGATCCAAAAGGTTTTGGTGAGAAAACAATATGATCTTTTTAATTCGACATTTTGAATGTGGTACTGATCAGCCATTGTCCTTTTCCACCATGAGGCAATTTCACATTCTTTAAATGTTCCCTCTCCAATCTATCATACAGGGCACATCGGAATTGCTGTACCTGATGTTTATGCAGCCTGCAAAGTATTTGAAGAAAAAGGAGTAACATTTGTTAAGAAGCCAGATGATGGTATTTATTTTTTCACTTCCCTGACATAACCCTCACACACAATTATTTTGTTTTATGTTTAGGGTCACTCTGAAAACGCATTTGTGTGTAGGATACATAACAATTTACTTTCATCTGTATCAGTCTGCTTCATCTGTATTCTCTCAATTTATAAATGCAACGTTCAAAGTTCTTTCTCCACACAGGTAAAATGAAGGGACTGGCCTTTATACAGGATCCTGATGGATACTGGATTGAGATTTTGAGTCCAAACAACATGTTCACCATAACATCATACAAGCGTCAAACTGAGACAGTACAAACTGACTGAGTCAGAAAAAGTATGTGATGAAAAAGTAAGAGAAATTGGAGAAACCAAAGGGGGTTATGTGAGGAAATTAAGAGGTGAAGATTGAGTATTTGCTTCTGATTGAGATCACATACAGATTCCCACTGAAGGCCTACTTAAGCGGGGGGGGGGGGGGAGTTTATTTTAATATATTACAAATATACTGACGTATACTTAAATATACTACAAATTCATATAAAAAAAATAAAATATAAAAAAAATAAAAAAAATATATAATATACTTCAAATACGAGATGTACTTTTCTAGTATATCTTAGGTTTACTATACATATTCTACACTTCACTACACTTATTACAAATGTACTTAAAATGCATTGTTTTTCAGTCTTTAAACTATATGTTCACTATCATTACACTTAAACACACTTACACATAATATACTTCCATTTCATACACTTTAATTGTACTTTAGTATATTCATTCAAAATACACTTGGAGTTGTTTTGTAAGTTGAAACATTGATTTGTTTAATGAAACTCTTCTTGTGAGTGATCAAGTACACTATAAGTATAATTTCAGTGCCAATAATGAGTTTTGAGGTACTTTCTGAATTCCTGTTCAGAAGAGTGCAGAGAAAGAGAAAGTTGACAATGATAATAATTGTTTATTCCACATAAGGAAACATGCACAGCTGAGGAACATGCTTCCTGAGAGTATACTTTTTCATATCTCAAGAAAATATACTTAAAGGAAAACTTCACCCAAAAACTATTTGTTGGTATTTGTTTCATTAGTCCATTGTTAATATTGTCCCACAATAATTTGCATGTCAGCAATCACATTTTCAAGATATATAACTTTCAAAATACAGAAATACAACCGGTATGATGCATTTTGTATGGTTGAAAGAGATGGGGCAGACTTCCTGCAAATTGAGAAATTATGTGAATAAACTACAACAACAAAAAAGAAGAAACTGTATTATGAAGCCAAGATCAATGAAATAAAGAATGATGGAAAAAACTTTGGAGTACTTTCAATGAAATTATGGGCAGAAAGACAATTTCAACTCCATCTTTCATTGAATCAGATGGCTTATTTATCTTGAACCATTTGATGTTGCCAATTATTTTAATTATTACTTAATTAGCAAAGTGGACAAACGGAGGCAGCAAATGCCAACGAACAGTGAATGATTGTATTCATGCATAAAAAAAACGAATAATTAAAGAAAAACATTGTAAGTTAGAATTTTTTTAAGTTAGTGTGGGAGAGGTGGAAAAACTATTGTTGTCGATTAATAATGGCAAATCTCCTGGCATTGACAACAGATAGAAAGCTACTAAGAATGGTAGCTGACTCTATCGCCACTCTAAATTTAATATCTTTAATCTGAGCCTAGAGGAAAGTGTTCGTCCTCAGGCCTGGAGGGAAGCCAAAGTAATTCTGCTACCCAATGATGGTAAAGCGGCATTTACTGGTTCTAACAGTAAACTTTCAGCATGCTTATAGAGAAAGGCATGTGGCGCAGCGGTCTAAGGCACTGCATCGCAGTGCTTGAGGCGTCACTACAGACCCGGGTTTGATCCCAGGCTGTGTCACAGCCAGCCACGACCGGGAGACCCATGAGGCGGTGTAAAATTGGCCCAGCGTCATCCGGGTTAGGGGAGGGTTTGGACGGTCGGCCGGTATGTCCTTGTCCCATCATGCTCTAGCAACTTCTTGAGGCGGGCCGGGCTCATGCATGCTGACTTCGGTTGCCAGTTGTACGGTGTTTCCGCCGACACATTGGTGCGGCTGGCTTCCGGGTTAAGTGAGCAGTCAAGAAGCAGTGCGGGAGTTGCAGCGATGGGACAAGACTGTAACTACCAATTGGATATCACGAAAGAAGGGGTAAAAAGTACAAAACACAGTGCGACCGAAGTCAGCGTGCATGCGCCTGGCCCGCCACAAGGAGTCGCTAGAGCACGATGGGACAAGGACAATCCAGACTGGCCAAACCCTCCCCTACATTTTTTAAAAATTAAAATAAATAATAATAATAATCTCTTCCAAGCTATTTTGCAATATGTATGGGACCGCTGTCAACATCCTGGTCCTCAAATGAAACTGATATACTTTGCTATTTATGCAATTTTGTTCCTCTGCCAGATTTGATCCTTTATATTGGGCAGACAGACCAGTGCCCTACCTCCTCCCGCTGCCACCTGCTTACTCAATTTTTGGGGTAATGCTGTAATCAATTGTTTGTAATCTTTGATTGAGCAGACCTTTCCATACAATTCCGGTAGCTCCATGAAAGACATAACTCTACCATTCCAATTTACAATATCATTTAAAACAAAATACCCTTTTCAAACATATTTTTCCCATAAATACAGGTCTTTTATCAACCAACACACTGGAGTTCAACCATAATATTTGTTGTAATATTTGTTCTATCTTTTCCGGGAGATGAAATTGAAATTGTAACCAGCTCTGCAATGCTTGTTTGAAAAAGAGAGATATTTTGAACAAGGCTTAATTTTCATTTAATCTAAAATGAGACATGGCAATCTGCATAAAGGCAAAAAGGCCACTTTTAAACAATGGATGAGCTTTTCTTAGTAATCTACTTGAGAACCATTTTGGGTTCAAGTAAAACGTTTGTATAAGTGAAGCTTTTAGAGAGAGGTTTAGTACTTTTATATTTAATAATCTCAACCCACCCAGTTCATATTCGTATATAGATAGGCACGCTTTATCTTGTCTGGTTTAGCATTCCAGATAAAGCGAAATATGTTTTGCTCATATGATTTGAAAAACAAATCATCAGGAGTAGACAGCGCCATAAGTAAGTGAGTAAACTGAGATATGACTAAGTAGTTAATCAGTGTAATTTTACCATAAATGGACAGGTATTTACCACTCCATTGTTTCACGATCTTGTCTATTTTTACTAGTTTTCTATAAAAATTCATTGTGGAGAGCTCATTTAAATACACTGCTCAAAAAAATAAAGGGAACACTTAAACAACACAATGTAACTCCAAGTCAATCACACTTCTGTGAAATCAAACTGTCCACTTAGGAAGCAACACTGATTGACAATAAATTTCACATGCTGTTGTGCAAATGGAATAGACAACAGAGCATGGAGGCGCTACCAGGAGACAGGCCAGTACATCAGGAGACGTGGAGGAGGCCGTAGGAGGGCAACAACCCAGCAGCAGGACTGCTACCTCCACCTTTGTGCAAGGAGGAGCAGGAGGAGCACTGCCAGAGCCCTGCAAAATGACCTCCAGCAGGCCACAAATGTGCATGTGTCTGCTCAAATGGTCAGAAACAGACTCCATGAGGGTGGTATGAGGGCCCGACGTCCACAGGTGGGGGTTGTGCTTACAGCCCAACACCGTGCAGGACGTTTGGCATTTGCCAGAGAACACCAAGATTGGCAAATTCGCCACTGGCGCCCTGTGCTCTTCACAGATGAAAGCAGGTTCACACTGAGCACATGTGACAGACGTGACAGAGTCTGGAGACGCCGTGGAGAACGTTCTGCTGCCTGCAACATCCTCCAGCATGACCGGTTTGGCGGTGGGTCAGTCATGGTGTGGGGTGGCATTTCTTTGGGGGGCCGCACAGCCCTCCATGTGCTCGCCAGAGGTAGCCTGACTGCCATTAGGTACCGAGATGAGATCCTCAGACCCCTTGTGAGACCATATGCTGGTGCAGTTGGCCCTGGGTTCCTCCTAATGCAAGTTAATGCTAGACCTCATGTGGCTGGAGTGTGTCAGCAGATCCTGTAAGAGGAAGGCATTGATGCTATGGACTGGCCCGCCCATTCCCCAGACCTGAATCCAATTGAGCACATCTGGGACATCATGTCTCGCTCCATCCACCAACGCCACGTTGCACCACAGACTGTCCAGGAGTTGGCGGATGCTTTAGTCCAGGTCTGGGAGGAGATCCCTCAGGAGACCAACGCCTCATCAGGAGCATGCCCAGGCGTTGTAGGGAGGTCATACAGGCACGTGGAGGCCACACACACTACTGAGCCTCATTTTGACTTGTTTTAAGGACATTACATCAAAGTTGGATCAGCCTGTAGTGTGGTTTTCCACTTCAATTTTGAGTGTGACTCCAAATCCAGACCTCCATGGGTTGATTAATTTGATTTCAATTGATACTTTTTTTGTGATTTTGTTGTCAGCACATTCAACTATGTAAAGAAAAAGTATTTAATAAGATTATTTCATTCATTCAGATCTAGGATGTGTTATTTTAGTGTTCCCTTAATTTTTTTGAGCACTGTATTTTGTGATATGAATACCAAATATGTCTACTTCACCGTCCGCCCATTTTATAGGTAAAGGTATATGGTACATTTATCATAATTAGGTTTTAGCCCAGAGAGGCCAGAAAATGTATCTAGATCTCCAATGAGACATTGCAGGGATCTTGCTTGCAGACTTTTTTTAAGCCTTGGATTTCTAATCCTCTAATGTTGCTATTATATCTGATTTTAATAGCTAGCATTTCGAAGGCCATAACAAATAGATATGATGACAACGGACACCCTTGTTTAACTCCTCTTCACAGTTCAAAGTCTCTGAGAAGTAGCCGCTATTTACTATTTTACACCTGGGGTTGCTATACATTACTTTTACCCATTGAATAAGAGACTCACCGAAATTGAAAAAATCCAGGCATTTATATATAAAATCATGCCTTACTTTATCAAAGGCCTTTTCAGAATGGACTGGATCTTTATATTTGCCATCTGGGTCTTGTTTTAATAATAGTGACATCAGGCCTTCCTACTGAGTATCTGACAAGACTACCATTTCTATAGGAGTAGTTAAAACAGGCTTATAATACAAAGATTGTGGGAGCTATACTTTTAGATTTCAGTGCAGCCTTTGATATTATTGACCATAATCTGTTGTTGAAAAAAAGTATGTGTTATGGCTTTTCAACCTCTGCCATATTGTGGATTCAGAGCTATCTATCTAATAAACACAGAGGGTTTTCTTTAATGGAAGCTTCTCTAATGTTAAACATGTAAAGTGTGGTGTATTGCAGGGAAGCTCTTGGCCCTCTACTCTTTTATGTTTTTTACTAATGACATCAAACAAAGCTTGTGTGTCCATGTATGCTGAAGATTCA